TCCTTCAGCAGGTGACTAGCTAACCTGTGGTACATCCAGACAAGAGAATATTATTCAACACTGAAAATTGCTGTGAAGTCGTGAAAAGATATGGAGAAAAGTTAAGTGCATATTCTTTTTTTTTTAAGATTTATTTATGTATGCATACAAGAACTGGGATGTAGAGGTTGGGGGGTGAGAGGAGTCACCAGAGACAGAGTGGGGAACAGAACAGGCAGACTGACTGAAATACACTGCTGAGGGGAGCAGTGGGCGAGACAGGAGAGGTCTGCTGCGCCATGTGGGTAGCTCCCCGGCTGGGGATTGAACTTTGCTGCAGAGGCTGCAGATAGCTTCAAAGCACTGTGCTTAACTCTTTGCATCACTTGGGAGGCCCAAGTGCATATTCTAAGTGAAAAAAAGTCATCTGAAAATTTTGGCTGCAGATTATCTCCTGGGAGATCCAACTGTGAAATACAAGGGGTACAAGATTAGGCACAAAAGCTGAAAAGATGCATGGCAAGAGGGCATGGCACTGATGGTTCTGAATAAAGAGAAGCAAATCTGGTGGAGAAAGGTGCAGAGTGCATTGCAGTGTGGATGATTGGGAGCTGTGGGCGAGCCCTGAGCAAGGGCACTGAACGTCAGGATGAAGGAAGAACCACAGCAGCCTTCCCACCACAAACAACATTGATCTTGGCTATTTCTGTGAGGTCCTGCAGGGGGCCTGGGAGAGAACAGTCTTCCCTGCTGCCCATGCTGACATTGTATGTCCCTGATTGTTTACCGGCATCTTTGTCCTTCCAAAATTTGCCTAATGCCTGTGCTCTACATTGCCACGTGGGTGAATTTTCACAAGGATATAGAGGCTCCCAGAAGCATCCCCCCCCAAGTGAAGTCAGTTTCCATTCCAAAGCCCATGTGGTTGGCTCTGCCAGTGGCATTCTAATGTCTAATGTCCAGTGTCTACTGCCTTCATGGATAAGGCAATGAATAAAGATAGCTGTCAACCCGTCTCTTTCCAGGTGATGCATTGCAGGCTGTGAATTCAGCATCCTGACTTTGTAGAAATCATATGTTTCTCCCTTTGCAGAAACCTCAACTCTTCATTAATCTTCATAGTGACTGTACCAGATGGTATCCCCAGCCCTGTGTGTATGCAACCAGCTCGGTTTCAACTTGGTGACAGTGGTAATAGGAGAGGATTAGGACAGAAAACACTAGATCGTAATTATGGTGGTTGAATATTGGACTATTCAGTCATTGTTTGGTCTGCTCTGAGTCTCTTCCCACCCTTGTCTGAAACTAGTTTCTCTGCCTGCTCCAGCTATGTGGTTTGGATGAACGTTGGCCATGGCAGATTCCACACACTGGATTAGAGTTAACAGGTTTGGGGACAGGTGTCTGATCTCTCTTCTTTGCTGGCAGCCTGGGAAAATCACATGCCCCATCCTGCTTTGTTTGATTGGTTCACACATGGGCATATCAAAAGCCTGTCCAAACAGCTCTTCCTAGGCTTATCAACCTGGGATCAAGTAAGAGGGATGTTTATGTTTGCAGATCATTCACTCTCACACAACTACAAATGAGGTGAACCCTCTAATTCATTTGATTGTGGTAAAATACACATAACACACAATTTACCACCGTAACCATTTTGAGTGTACAGTTCAGTCGTGTTAAGTGTATTCACACTGTTGTGTAACTAACCTCCAGATCGTTTTTCTTCTTGCAGAACGGAAACTCTGTACCCACTAAACACCAGCTTCCATTGTCCCCTCCTCTTAACCCCTGGCAACTGCTACTCTACTTTCTGCCTCTATGAATTTGATTCCTCCAGGGACCTTGTATAAGTGGAATCATACCAACTCTATAGAGTTTTGGAGTTGTCATTTCTACAAAAATAATGGTGTAAAGAAAAGGAGCTTTGCTGAACTGAAATTGCTTACAGCTCACAGACACTCTAAACATGTTGAAGTCTGATTATTATTTAACCAGTGTAGGAGCATCAGCTCATACTTGGTAAATTTGGACTTTCCCAAGTGAGCCTCAGTAGACAGCTTCTTCATCAATCTTCAGTGATTACGCCAGATGGTATCCCAACTTGTGTCTCATAACCAACGGAGTTTCAACTGGCTGACAGTTTCTGCTTCAGTGACTGACCCTGTACACCAGTGGTCTTCCACCAGGGACAATCTGTCCCTCTGGGGACATCTGGTAATGTCAGGGGACATTTTGGATGTCACAGCTGGGGGTCAGGTGCTCCCAGTGTCTGGTGGGAAGAGGCCAGGATGCTGTCAAACATCCTAGAATGCACAGAGCAACCTCACAATAAACCCCACAGGTCTACAATATTGGAATTGAGAAACTCTGATCTACACCATGGTGGCCTTTCCCTGGTCCATACTGACCCACTTTTCAGTTGAGGAATCACTGCTGACATAAATTGAGAAGTGCTCCCTTCCCTGAAAGGGAAGGGAGGTGATTGAGGGAGGTTCTACAGTGTCAGTCTGCTACCAATAAAATTACTTCTGAACAGTAAGTTATATCTAAAAAAAGAATCTTTTCCCTACTTAGTAATTCCAAAACCTGACCTTCCATGATGCTTTTATAACCCCTCCCAACCTCTTACTTTACACTTTTTGGCATTTTACAGTGGAAACCATAAGTGGCAGTAGTATTCCAGCTTTTTGGAGAGGTGATGGAAATTCCTAGCTCTCAGGCAGTCTGGAAAATGAATAGAATCCACAAATTTCTTTCTTTGGAGCAAATATGTCTACATTAGTAGCACCAGGTAGCAATTAATCTGAAACATACTGGGACCCAGATAATTCTTTCCATTTGGCAGCCACATCTGTCCTTTGATAGAAATCCTTGAAATCCCAAAAGAGGACATGAAACCAGACACTTTAGACATGATTTAAAAGTGCTAAGTTAGAAGTAATTAAGACCAGTCCCAGGACCTATGAATGAGTCTGGGTTTAAATTAGATGCTTCATGAGGTACCTCACTTTCTCCCCCAAGGCTGCTCGGTACCCAATGCCAGGTTACTGAGTGAGTGCCTGGTCAGTTAGGTTTCTTGCTACTGTTAGGTTTTCTTGGTGAGATTCAGAAGACCCAACCCAAATTGGCTTAAACAAAATGGTAATGTGTTGCCATAGCTAAGCAGCTTCAGGAGAGCTGGATTAGGGAGGAGCAGCTTTAGGGCGCAGTTGGCTGTTAACAGCAATAGGGAGTTGAGGCTGACCATCAAAATAGCAAATGACCGCTACTAGTGTAACACACACACACACCCCTCAATGATAAAACAAAAGAAACCCTTGGCCCAGCCCACTGTTTAGCATTTGAGCTTAAAAAAGCTTAAATATATTTTATTTATTTATACATAGAAGAACTGGGGTGCAGGCTAGAGTTGCAAGGGGTGAGAGGACTCACCAGATACAGAGTGGGATGCAGAAGAGGCAGTTGTACTGAAATACACTGCGGAGGGGATCAGCGGGCAAGACAAGAGAGGTCTGCTCTGCTATGTGGGTCAGCTCCCTGGCCGGGGATCAATCTCGTGCTGAAGTGGCTAGCAATAGTCTGATAGTGCTGAGACTTAACCCCTGCACCACCAGGGAGGCCCAGCATTTAAAACTTCTCAAGTATGCTAATTATCTTCTCCTTGGCTCTCCTAAGTGATATTCCTGTGACTCCCTCTTTTGGGGAAGGAAACAAAAGTCCCCAGAGGCTTGTCCGATGTTCTGGGTCACTCTGGGGCAGTGTCCTGACTAGGAATTCCTAAAATTGCTTTAACTCATCCTGAGAACCGAAGGGCTCTGTTTACAGATCGTTATAAGGGATTTTTTTTTAAATTAAAATTTGTGGTAACATTGGCTAAGTTTCTACTTCAGGTAGTGCGCGGATAGGCTGCCTAATGCCTTGTGTGCTCTCTTGATGCACCGAGAGTGCCTTAGGAAATCACCGTGTTTCCAGAGTCTGGGCTGGGAGAGTATGGTGCAGAGGGAAGTGACACATGCTGGACTTTCAGATTGTCTGTGAAATCTGAAACATGTGGGTAAATCATAGAAAGCATGAAAGTCTTTCAAGAGCTGAATAAGCGCTGCCCTCTGCAGAGAAACGGGCCTGGACTCCGTGAGCATCCAGGTTTGGGGACATGAACAGCCACGGGGAGATCATCCTGGCAGGAGCTGTTTGCCCCATACTCCTTTAGAGGTTAAAGTCTTCTGAGAGGTGCTGGGTGGATGAAGCCTTTGTGATTTGTTTGGTGGTGCTCTGAAAATTTCTTGTCTCTGTTCCTAATTTTAGAGCTAGCAGCTGTCACTGCTTTGTTCTAACAAGTCGGTAATTTTCCATTCCCCTTGCTTACTCATATTCCCTTTATATATCTAATCACTCACTCTGCAAAAACTTCTAACTTGGTCTTATCACTTTTTAACCCCAAGAAAGGATGTGTATGTCAGGTATCTTACCGTTTCACTCTTTGGTCCTTTCTGTAACTTAGTCATCACATTCCTTAAAGAGGTTTCTCTCCTCTCCTCCAGACATAAAGTATCACCTTTTATTTCACTTCTGTAAACTCTGCCTATAGAATACAAATACGCTGACAGTATTTGATAGCATTTTAGCACACCACGTTTGATAGGATATGGCTTCTAGTACTTTCTATTTTCTTAACAGGAAGGCTGCACCTTGTTTGTTTCTTGTTTAGTTTTTAGGACCCCTTGGTACTTTACTGATGATGTCATGACTTTCTTTTTTAATTAGTATTGTCTGAGATTTTGCTTCAGAGTCGTCCAGTTGGAACAAGACTGGCCCAGGAAACTGTTGGAAGTGGGTGGCGGGCACCTGGTGGGTCAGGACCCTACTCCCTCTACCTGTGCACATGCCTGAAATGTTCCATAATAAAAAGTTTAAAGTCTTTTTGCAAAAATCTTTTAATAAAGGTGATGTTGATAGTAGAAATATTGCCACCTGTAGGTGGAAAATATATTACATTTGTTTTTCTTTGTCTTGAATAGGGTACACCATCAAAAAGAGAGGAAACAATTATTACATTCTTCACTCACCTGGTGAGTAGTAACTCTAAAATATTATTATCATTTTATCAGCACTCTCCATGACTAAGAACCTTAAGGTATAACTTACATACATTTATTTTAGGACTATCTTTCTTCTACATATCAATAAAATGTGTTTGGAAAAGGTTAACATTTATTTTAATAGAAAAACTCCTGAGTTTTAAAGTTTGAAAATCCCAAATGTGAAAATGTGTTTTTGAGACTTCAAATGTTTTTGTCAACTTGAGAATGTTTAGGTTTTATGTGGGGGAGACATTTTTATGTGAGCCCACGAAAAGAAACACAAATTTGGGGGGAATGTATGAGAAACTTCTTTAAATCACATAGAATAGATGTGGGCAAATCATGGATGCCAGATATGAGTGAAAAAACAAGTACGTGGGGTTAAGCAGCATGTTCTGCACATCATCCTTGAAGTTTTGGGTAGTTCTGTTACCAGTAGAAGCACAAAGTCGCCCTCCAAGCACCCTGGGGACCTCCCTTCCTCTCCTTTATGGGCGTCTCCTTTATGGTGCTCACCGAATCCACCTTTGTTTTCTGAAGCATAAATTTTTTTTTAATTTAAATTTTATTTTTATATTCCCCATACAATTACAACCCCCTTATTTTGACCCCAATGCCTCCTTTCCCCACCCCCCATGGAGTGTCTCTGGTTCATAATTGTTTGTTGATTTTGATATTTTCTTTCTTATAGTTATTCTTTTTCCTGGTCCCTTATTTAAGTTTTCTAGATTCCTGCTATGAGTGAGACCATCCGGTATTTTTCTTTTTCTTTCTGGCTTATTTCGCTGAGCATGATCCCTTCCAGCGCCATCCATGTTGCTGCAAATTGCATGTGTTTATCTTTTTTGAATGCTGAGTAATATTCCATGGTATATATGTACCACATCTTCTTGATCCAGTCATCTATTTTTGGGCATTTGGGTTGTTTCCAAAGCTTAGCTATTGTAAATAGTGCTGCTATAAACATAGGGGTGCAGGTGCTCTTTGGAATTGATGTTTCTGTGTCCTTTGGGTAAATACCTAGGAGTGGAATTGCTGGATCCTATGGAAGCTCTATGTTTAGTAGGTCCAGAAATCTCCACACAGCTCTCCATAGTGGTTGGAACAGTTTGCACTCCCACCAACAGTGCAGAAGAGTTCCTTTTTCTCCACACCCTCGCCAACATTTGTTGTTGCTAGTTTTTTTAATATGTGCCATTCTCACTGGTGTAAGATGGTATATCTCATGGTAGGTTTTTTTTTTTTTTTAAAGGAGAATTCTTGGTTTTTTTTTGTTCATTTATTTATTTATTTATACAAGCACTGGGTACAGTCAGAAGCGCGGGAGGGTGAGAGAATTCACCAGAGCCAGAGCAGGGAGCAGAGCAGGCAGAAGGACCGAAGTACACTGCTGAGGGGAGCAGCGGGTGGCAGGAGAGGTCTGCGAGCCATGTGGGACCCTCACCCAGCGGCTGGGGAGCAGCCGGCGCTGCAGAGGCTGTGGGCAGCTTCGCAACCCAGCGCTCAACCGCTGCGCCACCGGGGAGGCCCTCTTATGGTAGTTTTGATTTGCATTTCCCTGATTACAAGTGATGTTGAACATTTTTTCATATTCCTGTTGGCCATTTGCATTTCCTCTTCAGAGAAGTTTCTTTTTAGCTCTTCTGCCCATTTTTTGACTGGATTATTTTCTTTGTTTTTGTTGAGTCTCATCAGCTCTTTGTAGATTTTTGTGATCAGTCCTTTATCATTAGTGTTGTGTGCAAAAATGTTCTCCCAGTCGGTGGGCTTTCTCTTTGTTTTTGTTATTGTCTCTTTTGCTGTGTAGAAGCTCTTTAATTTGATGTAGTCCCAGCTGTTTATCTTTGCCTTCACTATCACTGCTTTGGGTGATGTGTCTGTAAAGATGTCTTTGATGTGCATATCATGTAGTGTTTCACCTATATTTCCTTTTATGTATTGTATGGTTTCAGGTCTTATGTCTAGTTCTTTAATCCATTTTGAGTTGGTTGTTGTGCATGGTGTTAGGTAGTAGTCAAGCTTCATTCTTTTGCATGTAGCGACCCAGTTTTCCCAGCACCATTTATTGAACAAACTTTCTTTGCTCCAGTGCATATTCTTTGCTCCTTTGTCAAAGATTAGTTGACCATAAATCTATGGGTTTATTTCTGGATTTTCTCTTCGATTCCATTGGTCTGTGTGTCTGTTCTTGTTCCAATACCATGCAGTTTTGATGATTATGGCTTTGTAGTATAGTTTGACATCTGGGAGTGTGATGCCTCCATTCCCTTCTTTTTTTTTTTTCAGGAGAGCTTTGGCTATTCGGGGTTTTTGGTGATTCCATATGAATTTCATCAATAATTGTTCTATTTCTTTGAAGAATGACATTGAAATTTTGATTGGAATAGCATTGAATCTGTATATTGCTTTTGGTAGGATGGCCATTTTAATAATGTTTATTCTTCCAACCCATGAGCAGGGGATGTCTTTCCATTTCTTTGTGTCTTCATCATTTTCTTTTAACAGTGTTTTATAGTTTTCTTTGTATAGGTCCTTTACCTCTTTTGTTAGATTTATTCCCAAGTATTTGATTTTTTTTGTTTCGATAATAAAAGGGATGGTTTTTTTGATTTCTTCTTCTTCTGAAGCATAAATTGTATTCTAGTCATGTATATGCATTTCAGATAAATTTATACTATTTGTTCTGTTAAATTTTCAAAAGTAACAGTCTTAGACATTCTCTTTTTTTCTTGTTTTTTTTTTTTTTAGATTTATTTATTTATGCATACAAGAATTGGGTTGCAGGCCAGAGGTGCAGGGGTGAGAGGATTCACCAGAGACAGAGCGGGGAACAGAACAGGCACATTGATTGAAATACACTGCTGAGGGGAGCAGCGGGCGAGACAGGAGAGGTCTGCTGCGCCACGTGGGCAGCCCCCTGGCCAGCTGAAGATCGAACTCGGGCTGTAGAGGCTATGGACAGCCTCAGAGTGCTGTGCTTTTTCCCCACATTTTGTCAGCAGAGCCATGCCTCACCCTTCTGCTCCTTACAAGATATTCTGAAAAGGACCGAGTTTCACCCAGTAATGAAACTGTGTTGCATTTATGCTGTGGGCCAAGTCTATTGATTGAGAGAGCTAGGACACATATTTTTACATCTTCCGGGGAAGACTGATAACTGGCTGACTCAGGTTCTCTTATTACTCATGGGGTACAATGCAAAGATAATATTCAAGCATTTTCAGTAATAGCAGCAAACTTCCTTGTTAAAACCACATTTACCAATTCAATTCTCCTGCAATTTTTTAAATGAAATAGTGACATTTCCTGCTTGAAGATTGACATAGAATTTCTAATAGTTTAGGGGTAGAGAACCATTTTGGAAAACTGCGTTACACTGTCAAATCATTAGGTTGTTCTTAAAGATGGCTCCCAGAGCACAGGCAGCAAAAGAAAAATAAATAAATTGGACTATATTACAATGAAAAACTTTTGTGTGTCAGAGGACATGATCAACAGAGTGAAAAGGTATCCTAGGAAATAGGAGAAAATGTCTGGTCAGGGGCTACTATCCAGACTATTTAAAGAACATCTGCAACTCAACTACAACAAAATAATCTCATTAAAAGTCAGCAAAAGAGCTGAACAGACATTTCTCCAAAGACCGTGTAAAGATGGCTGTTCAGCACATGAAAAGAAACTCAGTCTCACTGATCATTAGGGTTGCAAGTCAAATCCACAGAGACATTGCACTTCATACTCTGTAGGATGACAATTCTAAAACAAAAACAAAACCCAAACAACAGAAAATACCAAATGTGATTAAGGATATATGAAACAGAAACCCCTGTGTACTGCAGGTGGGAATGTAAAATGGTGTAGTCCTGATGGAGAAAAGGATAGTGGTTCCTCAAAAGATTGTACCCTGTAACCCAGGAAAGGCACTTCCAGTGTCGACCCAAAGGAAAAGCAGGAACTGGGACAGATATTTGTATACCCATGTTCAGAGCAGCGTTAGTCAAAATAGCCAAGAGGTGGAAGCCACCCAGGATGGATAAATGGACAAGCAAAACGTGTGAACATATAATGGAAATCCATTATATGCTACAACCTGGATGAATCTCAAGGACATCATGTTAAGTGAGATTAAACCAAATACAAAAAGATAAATAGTATAGCATCCCATTCCACTAATATAAGGTACCTTGAATAGTCACATATATAGAGACAAAGTATAATGGTGGTTGCTAAGAACTAGCAATTGTTTATTGATTATAAAATTTCAGTTATTGCCAGGTAAGAAAAGTTCTAGAGATGGATGGTGGTGATGGATGTACAATAATATGAGTGTATTTAATACCACTGAACTGCACATGTAAAAATCGTTTAAGTGTTTCATTCATGGAAGAATGGATAAAGAAAATGGAATATTTATTCAATCACAAAAAATGATGAAATCTTGCCATTTGCAACAATATGGATAGGCCTTGAGAGTGATATGCTAAGTGAATTAAGTCAGACAAAGAGAAGTAGCATATGAGCTCACTTACATGTGAAACCTGAAAAATAAAAATAAAGCAAGCTCGTAGATACTGAGAAAGACTGGTGGTCAGCCAGAAGCTGAGGGTCCGCTGTAAGCAAAATGGGTAAAGGTGGTTATAAGTTACAAACTTTTATCAATAGTTATAAAATCATAAGTCTTGGGTTATAAATACATACAGCATGGAGACTATAATTAATAATACTGTATTGTTTTTTTGAAAGTTGCTAAGAAAATAGATCCTGAAAGTTATCATCACAGGGAAAAGTCATTTTCTCAGTATGTGTGATACCAGATTTTAACTAGACTCATGGCGGTGATCATTTCATATTATAGAAAAATCCCAGAATCATTGTTATACCTGAAACTAATATAATGTTATATGTCATTTTACTACAATTAAAAATAAACCTAAAATATAAATTTGAATAAAATTTGTGAGTTAAAAGGGTTGGCTTGTGAAAAAAAG